ACTGCCTCTTATTTTTTTTTTTTTTTGAGGTGAATTTTTCTATCCTATCATTTTGTCTAGAGGAGAAAAAATGAATGAGAGAAAAAACTGCTTACAGGGTAACAATGACTCCAGAAAAATATACAGTAAACAAATCAGAAGAGACCTGAAACTGGGGAAAAGAAAGGGAAAGAAAGAAAAAAGAAAAAAAAATCAAAAGAAAAACAAACAAACAAACAAAAAATAAACAAACAAACCAACAAAAAGCAGAATATGATCAAATATGAACAGGCTGGTGCATAGATCAGTGCCACACACTAGATTTTGGGTGTATTTTGGTCTGTTAGAAGAAAGTACCTCCCAAAATTTTAAAGAAAAGCTTATATATGTACAAAAATAAGGGTTAATACAGTGAAGGGATGGAATATGACTGTAAAGATGAAAATTATAAAAGATTTTATAAAAGGAATTGATAAGAAAGGAAGTTGTTTGAAAAAAGAAAGAGGTTTTAAAAAAATAAAAGGGAGATAATATGATCAGGCAAGAGACCAGAACAAAGCCATACACTAGAGATTTAGGGTATATTTTGGTCTATTAGAAGAAACTGTAACCTAACATTTTAAAGTGAGAACAACTTATATATATATATATATATATATACCAAAAATTAGGTTAAGCACTATGAAGGGATAGAATATGACTCTAAAAATGAAAAATAAAAAAGATTTTTAAAAAAGGTATTGATAAGATGTTGGTTGAAAAAGGGAAAAAGAAAAATTCAAAAAAAAAGAAAATTAAAAAAATTAATTTGGAAGACTACAGAATCATGGGAATAAAGCCATGAATTGTATGTGCAGTATTCCCCTAGCACTGGAATTCTGCTATTCTCATTGATCGGTAAACTTGGTCTTGGCTGGCTGTTCTTGCTGATCTTCTGGGGAAGGAGCCTGTTTCAGTTGTTCTCAAATGTCTTTGCCAGAGGCGGAATTGCCCCGCCCTCACCGGGTCCAGGCTAAGTAATCTGCTTGGTCTTGCTCTCGGGAGCTTTTGTTCCCTGCAAGTTTTCAGTACAGCTTTGGAAGACAAGAGTGAAAATGGCAGCCTCCCAATCTCTGCCCTGGAGGAGCCGAGAACTCGGGGCCCCACTCTTCAGTGCACCCCCAGAGAAAAGCAGTCAATCACTCCTGTCTCCCCAGTCTTCGGCCGCACACTGTGCTCACCCGGCCTGTGACCGAGCATTTCTATCTCTAGCACATGACCCCATGTGGAGTCTCCAAACACAGCAGATCCCTGCAGTGCACTCCTGCGCTGCTCCTCCTGGGGGAGGAAGGGGAGTCTCCCCGGATCTGCCGCTTGTTGGATCCCTGCTGGAAGAGCAGTGGCCCGATTGTGCTGCAGATCACGGTTTATGGCAACCCCAAGCTGTGAGCCCACTCCTCGGCTCGGTCTCTGCAGCCAGCTTCCCTGCTCTGATACCTGGAGCTCTGCTGTACTCAGGCACCCCTGGTCTTTCTGTGACCCCGAGGGTCCTGAAACCACACTGTCCCAGCAAGGGTTCCACCCCCTGCTTAGCCACTGGAGCGATGTCCCTCAGTGGAGCAGACTTCTAAAATTTCCGATTTTGTCCTCTGCTGCTCTATCACTTGCCAGTAGCAGCTGATGGAGGCTCCCTCCCCCGCCATATATCTTCCCAAAGATCGCCTCAGATTCACTTCTCTACCTTCCAGAAAGTGGTTGCTTTTCTTCCGAGAGTTGCTGCTATTCTTTTCTTTGATCTCCTGTTGAGTTCGTAGGTGTTCAGATGGTTTGATCCCTATCTAGCTGAATTCCTGGACCAGGTGAAATTTAGGTCTCCTACTCCTCTGCCATCTTGCTCCTCCCTCTCCACTCTGCTCTTAGTTCTTAAATTATGATAGAGCCACTCTACTTGATTGTACACAGAGAGAGGTAGGAAGTTGAGGGAGATCCAGGTCAATGGAAACATGCAATAATCTGTCTCCATTTCTTCTCTTTTCTTTTTTTTTTTTTTAAGATTTTACTTATTTATTTGACAGAGAAAGAGTGAGAGCACAAGGAGGGGTAGTGGCAGGCAGTGGGAGATGGAGAAGTAGGCTCCCTGCTGAGCAAGGAGCCCAATGCAGGGTTGGATGCGGGCCTCGGTCCCAGGACCCTGGGATCATGTCCTGAGCTGAAGGCAAACAACCGACTGAGCCACCCAGGCACCCCAATCTTTGTCCATTTCTGAACTCAGATCTACTTCACTCCACCCACTGCTTTCAGTGGCACTTAAGCCATAGAACCTAAAAAAAAGTGATGGACTTAAAGGATTCAGTTTCTGTGACATATCATATCCTTTCTCATACTAGGGTGGCAATCATGGGGCAGTAGGTATCTAATAAAGACGATCAGAAAAGTACAGATCTGAAAGAAGTTGGATAGGCATAGTGTAACCCTTTCATTGTACAGAGGTGAAAATATGTTTGGTGACTTGTCCAAAGTTATAAAGTTTTCTGTTTAAGAGCTAAAACTATAATCCAGATTTTCTAACTCTGAGCCTGATGTCTTTCCCTGATACCCATCTTGACTCCTTAACACAAATACTGGTTGCAGAATTTGCTAATTTCCTCACTATAATCTTTAGGCTGAAAGATTCTACTCTAAATTTAGCTGTATATAATTAGAGTGACATTGGTTAGTAAGAGTTTTAACTTTAATAACTCCTATTTAATTTTGTATATTTTATCATCAATTAAAAATATCCTGAGATGTTTCCTTTTATGTCTATACCATTTGAAATTATTTTATAAAAATTAGATTATTTAACTTTTTGCATGATGTTGAATGATTTTCATGTCCCCCCCACCTTTTTTTAAAGATAAATTTGGTTATAGCTCCAGATGTCTAGTTGGAAATCTATACTCCTATTGAATACTTGAAACTAATCCTCAGATTCCACTTGCCAGGATCTGTGTTCTAAAGGAGCTATTCCTCTCATCTGAGAAGAATCATCTGATAGTCTCTCTTACTTCTTCCACCCCCACCAATGCTGATAAAGACCCGTTGAATCATAACTTTATATCCTCAAAGCTTGGGCAATGGTCAGACTTGGAAGATTCTCATTAAACTGAGGTAGTTTATATCTGGCAAGCAATAGTCTGCTAAAAAATGCATTTTTTAAAAGATTTTATTTATTTATAGATCATGATCAGGGGAGGGACAGAGAGAGAATCTCAGGCAGACTCCATGCTGAGCACGCAGAGCCCAACTTGGAGCTTGATCTCACCACCCTGAGATCATGACCTGAGCCGATGTCAACAGTCAGATACTTAACCAACTGAGCCACCCAGGTGCTCCTGCATTTGGCCTCTTAAAGAAAGGTAGTCGTCATGTTACAATGGAACATCTGCTAAATAATAAGCCATTACATGTTGAGTATCTACGATGTTGTGCCAATATCGAAACTGGACACTCTTTTTCATCATCACATCAATGAATTAGAAGTAAATCGATGTTTGGCAAGGACTTCCTCCTTCACAGTTGAAGCCACATTTTTATTAGTATTATTTTTCTCTTCCAGTTTCAACATCTTGCTATACTTTGTCCCTCACCCCAAACCTGGAAGCTTAAGAACTCAAGAGACTCCACTAGCTTTCTCTAGAACAGCTCTGCTCAGCTGAGGGCAATTTTATCCCTAGAGGACATCTGACAATATCAAGAAGCATTTTTTTGATTGTCAGAACTAGGCAGGTGCTACTGGCACCTAGTAGGTAGAACCCAAAGATGCTGCTAAATATCCCACAATGTATAAGGCAGCTGCCACAACGAAGAGTTATCTGCTCCAAAATGTCATTAGTGTTGAGTTGAGAAATCCAGTTCTAGAGAGTGCTGCCCAGATAGCAGTTCCCAGTTTTTCCCTATAGAGATGGAAAGTCCATATTCCCTGCATTTCCATATATGAGAATGGCCATGTCATGTATCTGACCAATATGATCATTTATAATGATGAACACACAAGTTGCTCTCAGCAGTAAGGACCAAAGTCTGGAATCATTAGCCACCTTTTATTTTGTTTTTTTATTTTTTTTAACATTTTTTTAAAAAGATTTTTTAAATTTATTTATTAGAGAGAGAGTGAGAGAGAGAGCGCAAGAGGGGGTAGGGTTAGAGGGAGAAGCAGACTCCCCGCCGAGCAGGGAGCCCGATGTGGGACTCGATCCCGGGACTCCGGGATCATGACCTGAGCCGAAGGCAGTCGCTTAACCAACTGAGCCACCCAGGCGCCCAGCCACCTTTTATTCATGATTACAAATCACAGAAAGAAGAGGGGTCTTAAAAGTAAAGGAAGTATGTTGAATGGATTTTGTTTGCAGTTTCTCCTCCACTACTGACCTAATTACTAGTCATATAGGAAATGTACAATTGAAGGATTTTAAGGAAACATGACACAATGCAAAGGCAGGTGTAAGGTACCAAGTTAATAATATATACCAATGTCTGTTTTCAGACAATGGAAAGAATAGTGAATCCACATAATGAATATACTAATGGCAACACTTCATTTCTTTCCTTCATGATCATGTTTGATGGAGAATGGCTTGAAATTGCTATTATATAAGCTGGAGGAAAAGTGCTTTGAGAGTACTGAATACAAAATAAAAGAACTAGAGGTTTTACAAATCCCAGCAGATTGGAGGAAGAGAAGACTATTAAAATGTGTGATCCTAGAAGAAAATTGTTTCTGTAATTGAGAAGCTACTTATCAACCAATACTTGCTGTGTATACTTTTTTTTTTTTTTTTTTGCCATGTATACTTTAATCTCATAGCCTGACTCTTACCTGCAGGATCACTGGAGATGGCTGGCTTATATCCCACACTCCTGGAGCTATCATTTCTATGGGAGGTTCATTCTGTAATGTCATACTGAATAGCATAGACCCCAGAATGGATTTGCTACAAAAGACAACACATATAGATAGACAAGAGTCACTTCAAGAGGGAAGTTATTATTATCTATAAATGCTTTCTTTTGGAATGTAAACATAACCAGCTATTTCCGTGGCTTCATTCAGTAGCTAGAATAGAAATACAATATTCCACAAGTCTAGATACTGATTAGTAGTTAATTCTAATATACGACATGCATGGTTATGTTCACAGACAGCTACATTTATTTTCCACATGAAAAAATTATTTCCACAATAGTTTCTGACAGGTAGAATTTATTTTTAATATCCAACAGTATTGATTACAAGATGGGATTGAGATTCTTGGAGTTATGAGTACCTCAAGTCAATAAAGATATCAACTCTTCAGAACATGTTTGCTCCACAAAGTGACTAAATTTCCTGAGCATCATTAAAGGTATGAGCTCTAAATTTATAGAAAGAAAATATTTAAGCTAGCATATGATCTGCAGAATCAAATAGTTGTGGGACTTCAGAGAGGAAATGCTTCTAAATAGAAAGATTATTCATAGTCTGAATGTTTAAAAATAGGTTGTAAATTACCATTGTAAATGAGGATGCATACATGAAGACTTTAGACAGGAGGAATTCATGGATGGTTTTAACAGGTTCAGTAACATCCAAATCCACAGATCTTCATAGGAATTAAAAGGGAATCTATACTTGACTGTATGTATGAATTAGATTATTAGTAAAATGTTCCAGTGATCACTGAGGACAGTCTTTGACTAAGCAAGACAACAAAAATTAAAGTTTATAAAGAACTTTAAGACATCAAGTCTTTTTGAAAACACTATAGAGGGGGAAGGACCTAAGATGGCAGAGTAGTAGGAGGACCCTAGGCTTGCCTTGTCCCTCAAACACAGCTAGATAAATATCAAATCATTCTGAATACCCAAGAAATCAATCTGAGGACTTACAGAACAAACTACACAACTAGAGGGAGAGAGGAGGCCACATCATGGGAGGTAGGAGGTGTGGAGATGTGTGGACGGGTGGGAGCCCTGGTCACAGAGAGAGACAAGAGAAAGAGGAGCACACAGGGGATTGCACAAGGAAAACAATTCCCCAAAGCCATTGACCAGGTAAATAAGAGGGGCTGATTTTCATATTTGCCACCAGTAGGGCTCAAAGACTGGAGTTTTAGAGGTTCATGGCATGGCTGGTATAAAGCCCTGAGGGCGCTGCAGTGCTCCTGTAGAGAAGGCAGGCAGGTAATTCAGGAAGCATAGGGCATGATCTGTGGATCACCTGAGATGCACTGGAAGATGGGTCCCCCTTCTTGGAGTTCATCTGAGAGAGGAGGCATTGCCTTTCTGGGGACAAAGGAGCTGGTGGGCGCCATTTCCTTCCCCCCAACCCTCAGCATAGATGCAGAGACACCTGCTCATGGCAGCAAACCTGGACACTGGCTCCTTGGTGCACTTTGTTCCAAATCCCACACTCCTGCACTCTGGTGCAACTGTCCTTTTGGGTCAAATCTGCACAAATACCAGGGCAGCGAGATCCTCCCCCAGAAGACCAGTGTATGTCCCTGCCACAGCAGGTCCCTAAAGTTTGGAGATTGATTGATTGATTGATTGATTTTTAAGTAGGCTCCACATGGTGCTTGAACTCACAATCCTGAGATCAAGACCTAAGCTGAGGTCAAGAGTCAAGACACTTAACTGAAAGTAACCCCGGTACCCTTAAAGATTGGAGTTTTAAAACTCAGCTGGCCTGGCTGGCCTAAAATCCAAAGTGCATGGTGCTGCTCCAGGCAGGCAAGTAACCCAGACACAGATAGTATGAAAACAGTGATCTGAAAAACACCTATGATGCAGGACAGGAAATTATTCACTCTTCTAGGAGGGCTTCCCTGAAAACAGCAAGCACAGACTCCCCTCTGGGGGAACAAAGGAGCTGCCATTTCTCTCCCTGACCCCTCAGCCTAAACCAACATCATTAAACTGCACAGCACCAATACTGGTGGCCTAAACCTAAGCCCTGCCCCCACTGTGCTCTGCTGCTACTGCTTTTCTCCAGGAAGTGTGCCTAAGGACCAGTGCAGCAGGCCCCTCCACCTGAAGGCCAGCACAAATCCTTGCATGCACCATGTCTACTGACCATAGAGTTCTACAACACTTCAGCTCCAGTGGAAATAGTTTTAGGTCTCCATATCCAGGGAGCACAGAGAACTCCCATCAAAATCAACAAAAGCGGGCCAATACTAAGACATATTGTAGTTGAATTTGCAAAATATAGAGATAAAGAAAATATCCTAAAAGCAGCAAGACAAAAGAATTCCCTAACTTACAAGTGAAGAAAAGTAAGGTTAGCAGCAGATCTATCCACAGAAACTTGGCAGGCCAGAAAAAAGTGGCATGATATATTCAACATGCTGAATGGGAAAAATCTGCAACCAAGAATACTCTATCAGAATAGAAGGAGAGATAAAGAGTGTCCTAGAAAAACAAAAGCTAAAGGAATTTGTGTCTGCTAACCCAGTCCTGTAAAAATATTAAAGGGGACTCTTTGAGTGGGAAAAAAGACTAAAAAGGAACAGAGAAAATCTCCAGAGACAACAACAAAACAAGCAATAAAATGACACTAAATTGATATCTACCAATAATTACTGTGAATGTAAATGGACTAAACACTCCATCAAAAGACATAGGCTGTCAGAATGGATAAAAAAGCAAGACCCATCTATATGCTGTCTACAAGAAACTCATTTTAGACCTAAACGCACCTGAAGATTGAAAGTAAAGGGATGGAGAAATATTTTATCATGCAAATAGACATAAAAAGAAAGCCAGAGTAGCAAATACTTGTATGAGACAGACTAGATTTTAAACCAAAGACTGTAACAAAAGATGAAGAAGGGCATTGTATTAAAATAAAAGGGTCTATCCAACAAGGAGCTCTAACAATTGTAAATATTTTTGCCCCCAATTTGGGAGCACCCAAATACATAAAACAATTAATAACAAACATAATGGAACTCATTGATAAAGCAGCAGAGAATTTCCAATGGCAAAAAGATAGTCTCTTCAACAAATGAGTGAAACTGGACCACTTTCTTACACCATACACAAAAATAAATTCAAAATGAGTGAAAGACCTAAATGTGAGACTTGAAACCATAAAAATCCCAGGAGAGAACACAGGCAGCAACTTCTTTGATCTTGGCCATGGCAGCTTCTCACTAGACACCTCACCATAGGTAAACAAAGGGAAACAAAGGCAAAAATGATCTACTGAGACTTCATCAAGATAAAAAGTTTCTGCACGGTGAAGTAAGCAATCAACAAAACTAAAAGGCGGCCTACAGAATGGGAGAAGATATTTGCAAATGATATTTCTGATAAAGGGTTTGTATCCAAATCTATGAAGAGCTTATCAAACTCAACACCCCCAAAACAAATAATCCAGTTAAGAAATGGGCAGAAGACATGAATAGACATTTTTCTTTTTTTTTTTTTAAGATTTTATTTATTTATTTGACAAAGAAAGACACAGCGAGAGAGAGAACACGAGCAGGGGGAGTGGGACAGGGAGAAGCAGGCTTTCTGCTGAGCAGGGAGCCTGATGGGGGCTCGATCCCAGGACCCTGGGATCATGACCCCAGCCGAAGGCAGATGCTTAATGACTGAGCCACCCAGGCGCCCCCTGAATAGACATTTTTCTAAAGAAGACATAAAGAAGACATCCAGATGGCTAACAGACACATGAAAAGATGCTCAACATCACTCATCACCAGGGAAATACAAATCAAAACTACAATGAGATGCCACCTCACATTGGTCAGAATGGCTAAAATTAACAACACAGGAAACAACAGATGTTGGCAAGGATGCGGAGAAAAGGGAAATTTTACACTGTTGGTGGAAATGCAAACTTGTGCAGCCACTCTAGAAAACAGTATGGAGATTCCTCAAAAAGTTAAAAATAGAACTACCTTACAATCCAGGAATCACACTACTAGGTATTTACCCAAAGGGTACAAAAATACTGATTCAAAGGGATACGTGCATCCTGATGTTTATAGCAGCATTATCAATAATAGCCAAATTATGGAAAGAGCCCAAATGTCCATCGACTGATGAATAAAGAAGAGGTTGTATATATGTGTGTGTGTGTATGTGTGTGTGTATAATGGAATATTACCCAGCCATTAAAAAAGAATGAAATCTTGCCATTTGCAATAATGTAGATGGAATTAGAGAGTATTATGCTAAGTGAAATAAGTCAGTCAAGGAAAGACAAAGACAAATACCATATGATTTCAAGAAACAAAACAGATGAACATAGTGGGGAGAAAGAGAAAGCGGCAAACCATAAAACAGACTCTTAACTGTAGAGAACAAACTGAGGGTTGCTGAGGGGAGGTAGGTGGGGGGGGATGGGTTAAATGGGTGATGTGGATTAAGGAGTGCACTTGCTGTGATGAGCACAGGGTATTGTATGTAAGTGATGAATCAGTAAATTCTGCTCCTGAAACTAATATTACACTCTATGTTAACTAACTGCTATTTAAATAAAAACTTGAAAATAAAAAAAATACTATCAAATTCCATTATTCCCTTTAACAGACACTACAAAAAATATGAAGGAAAAATCTAACAAGTAAAGTTCTCTTTAAACCTTTAGCTTTCTGAGGCTTGCTTATTTTCCATGTCTAAAGATATTGTTAGAAAGTATCTGCCCAAGGGAGTATAATTTGTAAACATTATTGGACAGATATTTTTATAAGACCCAGGGTTATTCTTCTAGCAGGATGAATTTTGAATTTTCTTTATCCCTTTGTTCCATACCTCCTTCAGCTGGTGAAACTTGTTTTTTCAGATAACAATCCAGAGGGGATGGTATTAGCAACCTAAAAGTCAGCTTAATGATATAAAGATTAGAAAATTATTAATTCATTTTTCATTATAGAGTATATAACCTTCCCCAAAATGGTCTGAAGCATCCATCTGCCTGGAAAAAGTTTTGGATTAGCTTCAG